GATGCCTTGCTTGCTGGGCTATTAAATTAGTTGTCCTCGCCGTAGTCAGTACGTGCTTTAATCTTCTGGATGTGCGCATGGAATGTTGGGCAGTTTGCTGCGTACGCTGCATGGTGTGTATCCACTTTAACTTTTGAATCTCTGTTTGCTATGATGCAGTTAATGCATTTCAGGGCAGTCCGCCTTACATTCGTTAATGTCATGACAGCCTCCGCAGTAAGCGCAGTAAGGCCTGTGGCAGCAGTCTTTCGACGTATGTTCCAGGTCCTGACAGCGGAAACAGCGCTTGGCTCCTGTAAACTCGTAGATACTATGTTCCCTCCATCCTTGGAACAATCTTCGTTTGGACATGAGGACATGAAAGGCACCAGGGGTACATTCAATCACCCACTTTGTGGCTCTATTCCTTCTGTCCGGGCGCTTGAAGAGGACTCTACACTCTTCATTCCCAAGATTGCAAGACTTTTGTAGCATTTCTTGTACTTCCACCTCCGAGGTGCCGTACGGTACATTGTCGATTGTGCATTTCGGTGTTCTCTTCCGTGGTATACGCGTGCGTACTGTATCCTTTAGGTTATCGTGCTGAGCTAGGAACTGACTTATCTTCTGTACTTCATCCTTGTTGTTGCATCGCACCGCCACACCTCCACTACTTAAGTTCGTAATGCCCCGAAGGTTGACACACAGATCTTCAATTTGGACATGCTTTTCTAGTACCCCGCGTATATCCGCACTCTGTTCATCACGTTTAGGGAGGATCAGCAGTGTCGGCATGTTCGTGACTTTCCTTTTCCATCTCCGCTTTACCGCTTGCGCGTACGTAGGTTGGCCATCTTTGCCCTCTATAACCGGTGCTCATCCTGCTGTATAGTATCTTTGCTTGCATGGAGCTGCTTCACCTGTCTTTTTGCATTTTGCTGAATCGAGTGAGCAAGTTCACAACAAAGAACCGTCGACGTGTTTACTCCTATGTCTGCTAGGGTTGGACTCTCTCTGCAAGGTGTGGGCCTCTCAAGGCTAGCGTTTCCAGAGCGTCCAGAGCACATAGCAGTCGCTCACGAAGATCTTGAGGTAGGAGGAATTTGCCCCTTCTATGAGTGCTGGCTGTCTTTCTTATAAATTCGTAGAGCAGGTGAACTTTGCCTTGATGGTCTTGGTCACTGTCGAGTATCTCTTGCGGATCGAAATCCGACCTTTGCATCTGAGGCTCTCCTTCCGACTGTGCAGATGAGTTACGTGTCATTCTTGAATCACCGATACACGTTGAGCACTTTTCACTTAATAACACATTTATATCACTTTCACGTTAACACTTGTATCACCTTAATCACTTTAAATCAGTGTTGATGGAATTCACCACGTAATATCACTTTCACGTAAACACTTTGGATCACTTTTAAATACGTTAAAACACTTTAAATCACACACTATAAATCACCGTTGACAGAACGTAAAATTTTAAATCACTTTTCGCGTAAATCACTTAACACTTGAAAAAACACTTTCACCATACAATATCAACACTTAATAACACTTTAAATCACTTTTCACCTGTGCCACGTACATAACTTTCACGTTAATTTGACACAATAACACACTTTTCCACTTTAAGAACACCACATAAATGCCTTGTATATTATTAGAAAGTTCTGGAATTATTGCTGGGTTGGATGTAACAGGTACATTTTAATACATAAATATTGAGTGCTATAATCAATAGTGACCAGCAAGTAAATTGAAGACACGTTAACACTTTGGATCACTTTTAATCACGTTAAATAACACTATAAATCACCGTTGATGGAATGTAAACACTTTAAATCACTTTTTGCGTAAATCACTTAACACTTGAAAATACGTACACCATGCAATATCGAAACTTAATAACACTTTCACGTTAACACTTTAAATCACTTTTTGCATAAATCACTTAACACTTGAAAATACGTACACCGTGCAATATCGAAACTTTAAATCACCACCTGTGCCACGTGCATAACTTTCACTTTAATTTGACACAAAAATATACTTCTACTTTAAGAACACCACATAAATGTCATGTATATTATTAGGAGATACTGGTAATATTGCTGGGTTGAATGTAACAGGTACATTTTAATACATAAATTTCAGTGCTATAATCTATAGTGACGAGCACGCAAATTGCAGACACGTTAACACTTTAGATCACTTTTAATCACGTTAAATCACTTTAAATCACACTATAAATCACCGTTGACGGAACGTAAACACCTTAAATCACTTTTCGCGCGTAAATCACTTAACACTTGAAAACACTTTCACCATGCAATATCAAAACTTGATAACACTTTCACGTTAACACTTTAAATCACTTTTCACCTGTACCACGTACATAACTTTCACGTTAATTTGACACAAAAACACACTTCCACTTTAAGAACACCGCAAAATGCCTTGTATATTATTAGGAAATACTGGTATTATTGCTGGGTTGAATGTAACAGGTACATTTTATTACATAAATGTTGAGTGCTATAATCAATAGTGACTAGCAAGCAAATTGCAGAGAAATGCGCTTGGCTGCGATACTTCTTCTGTGCATCAGCTGTACACTATAGGTAGTTCTGCGGAGTAATCCAATTGATAAACACAGGCACAGAATTAATTAAAAAGCACACACACACTGCATTAATCACTATTGTAGAAGACGATAATCCTAAGTCCTGGTAATGCCGGAAAAACAGTAACTTTTGAAGTAGCAGACCGATCTTCTTCAAATTTACAATCTCATACAGCCCATGGCTTGAATCAGAAGAATCCGTTTGAACAAAATCGCTAGGCCAATTAGGGGCTTAATTAGCGATTCGTTTAATTGCCTCCAGTACCTCTTTCTCCCTTTGTTGACAACAGGAAATCACTCGGGTTAACAGGCGACGGGGGGTCGAATGCTTCTAACTGACCATAGGGACGGGGAAAAGGTCAAAGTTCACGGTGAAAAACTTGTAAAAGCAATTAAAAATCAATTACTCGGCATCCATTGACCGCACACATACATAATTACTGTCAAATTGCTCAGCGTAAAATACCGCATCCGACGATACTAAACACCAGTGACCCTTTGGCAAATGAGCGGAACCCTTATCCCTTTGGCAAATGAGCGGAACCGTAAAGTTCTTTAGGACATGGAAGAAGCGTTCACTGTTCATTTTATTCCTTTTAACAAATAGTCCACCAGCGGCCGAGCGGTAAAGTCGCTGAACACTTGTAGTTCAGTCCGAGGTTTGAATCCCGCGAACGGGCTGGCTGCATGGGCGTTTTCGTGGTTTTCCCCATGTGTAACGTGTATACGAGCCAGTTTCCCTTAGAAAGTCCTCCACGAAATTCATCCCTCCCCTTAGGCATATAACCCTAGTGTGCTTTGCCATAATTAAATACACCACCACACCACCTTTTAACAAATAAGAACCTGCTACTTGAGTTGATATTCCACCTCACACCGTTAATTTAGGGCTAGACTGCATTTTTTTTTTTTTTTTTTTTTTTCAGTAGTAGCACCTGGATCTACTAGTAACAGTTATGCCTATTACAAAACAACTAATGTAAAAAATTCTTTTATGGTTCCATAAAATGTCTTCATACAGATCAGGGTTATCTTCCTTCCATCCTAACATGATTTCTGCAAATTACAGATTTGACAAATTTGAGAAAACGTTACTGGACGTTCAATGGGACTTCCAGGAATGGAATTTCAAATCCTTCATTAACATGAAGTGAATAGCATGCCGTGTTAGCCCGCTTTCTGTGGGTGTCTGACTGAGAGACTTTGAAGAACTTCCTTCAAACATGGCCCGTACTTTGACATTTTCTGCAAATTGCGAAAGTGATTATCGATCCAACCGGGCAAATCCAATACAGAACTGGTTGTCATTAATTTATTTGACTTTGGTCATTTGGCAGCTTTTAATGATTTTTGGGTTCAGTGTTGCATTTCTTCCTTTCTCAAATTTCCTTCTACGCTAGACCTTCACGACGAAATTCCAAACCTCGTACCTTACCGCGATTTTAGCTCTCTCTTCCTTGCCAAAACTGGAGGTATTTTGAGTTATCGGATACATAAATGGTAAAGAATAAGCTTCTGTCATGTACCATAGTTGACCATTGTTGAAATGGGCGTGACCTGTTATGACTATGAAACCAACTTGTTTGGTTAGGTAGGTCGGGCTGCACCCATTACTGATAGTACTGATACTGATACCATAGTTGATCTTAACAGTACGTTTCAAAAGTACATATTTTCTTCTTGAAAATAGGTATTGACTTTACTTCAGCCTTTACTTCTTATAAGAATAAATGTATGCATTAAAGAAAATTAATTTCTTGATTTTAGTTTAATAAATGTAAAATTGTTGGCGTCATTTTCGAAAACTAAAAGTATATGATTTTTTTCATGAGACGCTATGTATCTGCATATTTGTTTAAAACATTTTAAATTTGTTTAGTACTGTAATGAGTTAAATGAAATAATAAATCTGATGCTATTAATATAATTTCTAGATATTCATTTTTCGTTAAAAATTATTTTCAACAAATTACATATTAATTATAGAAATAGCCTTATAATAGTAGACGTAATTATAAAAACAATCGTTTAATGATTATAGAAGTAATTACAGAAATAACTGTTCATAATTAATTATAGAAATAAATTTTAATTTTTTTTATCTTCAAGGCGGTTTTAATGTGACTGTGATTTGTTTTTAAGGAGTTAATGCAAAAAATGACTTCTTGACAATATTTAAAAATAAGGGAATTAAAATGCAAATACCAATACAATCAGCAAATTTTATTCAAAGAAAGTGTTTATTTCCTATTATGTTAATATCAGCATATTAATTATTCATTTATACCACATTTTATTGCATTAAACACTTGAAAGTGATCATTAAAATTATTTTTACAGTATACTGTTAATGTTAAATATGTTCATGTTGTTTAATTATATCCTTATCATTTTGTAGAAAGTGATGTTGGTGAATCAGACTTAGTTGAACCACCGTATATTGAAGAATATTACTATTATTATGATGATGAAATTCCAGGTATTTCACAAAGCAAATTGCCTTCAAACTGTTTTATATATTTAACATAGTTTCTTGAATTAAAATCTTGAATTATACAGCAATTTGTTATAGGTTTGCTTTTTATACCAATCTTTATGTTTTATGTTAATTACTAATAATATACTGTTGCCATTCATTATGAGAAGAGCAGTTTTATAAACTTCTTCCCTGCACTGATTTTTGTAATTTTTTACAGCAGAAAGAATATGAAAATGAACAAAATGCATGGTTCTTTTTATGTGACCTTTAAGAAAGCAGTATTTAATGTTATTTGCCAGTAACAATAAAATATATATTAGGTTATATTTTATTCCATTTTATCATTTTTAAAGTTGTCAGATAAATTTTTGTAACATTGATAAAAGAATGAAAATTTTACTTTTAAAATTCTCATTAAGTTATTTCATCTATATCTTGTAGAGACATTAGGATTTTTTTTGGAAGTAGGCAAGATAAAAATATGCAACGCCTTCGTCGAGAATCGAACCACGGACCTCTCAATTACGCGCTGAGCGTGCAGACCACCACACCACGAAGGCATGCCAAGAAGGCGGGGAGGAATACCTTATAATCTTTAAATTCTGCTGATGTCAGTCTAACTATCCCTGACAGTTGCTATACTGATTTCCGTGATTAGATTTATGTACATATCCACGCAAGCACTTCATCTTTGTGCTCTTAAACTTTGGTTTGTAAATGAGCTCTCGCATAAAAGGCAGCCATGTTTTATCTATCTGACTAATATAATAACTCAATGTAAAAACGTTGAATGATGTTTGTCTTGCTGTTACCTTATATTTTACATACCTATATTCTAACCATATTTTATTGGCCTTTTTCTCGGGCATCTTTAATATAAATTTTATTATTGCGTTCATCCTTTGAGGAGTAGTGGTTAAGATACCTGGCCAACAACTTCAGAATGCTTACTATGAATGGGCTTGAAATAAGGGCAATTAAAGTAGATGCAATAAAGCCGAACTGGAGCGTTGAGCTGTATAGGGCAATGCTGAGCGATAGTGTTTATACGCACGTTACACTTCTTTCTTGCTGCTAATTATTAGTATCTTTAATATTTGTTCTTCAGCATATTCCTTTTGTCATAATTTTTCTGCATTGAAATAAATAGTAATATGAGCTATGCGATTGGTTGCTGCAAAAAATATCAACACAAAATTAAATATTTTATGGACATTTATGCACAAATCTGATGACGCTGTTGAAACTCGAGTAAATAATCTTAATATTTTGTCTGTCTGTAAAAATCCATAGCTTTCTCTTCAGATGCGGTAGTGTTTCTCCTATACCCCCATGCTTCACTCTTCCATGACAGGTTTTAATAATTATATTAGACAAGTTAATAGAACTTGGAAATAAAACTGAAAATGCTTCTTGGTGGGAAATATTATCATACATAAGACGTCTTCCAATTCAAATTATTCCTCATTCATCTAGAATAGATTTGAAAGACCTAGTAACAGAGTATGTTCTGTTGGTTTTCCATCAATTAAAGTCAATTGTTCCTGAGGAAAGTTTCTCATCTGCATCTTTTTAATGCAATACTGCTCGGCAAACTGAAGCTCTTTTGCAGCTAAACACTGTATGATTACGGACCTCGACTGGCATTCAGATAGGTTCTATTGTTCGCATTAAACTATATGATAAATTATTTTTTCTCCTTTTAGTTCATTATTTTATTTTTTATACAACTGCTTATTTTTTAGAAACCTTTTCTTATTTTTTTATTTTTAACTTTTTATTTTAGATAACACATTATCAATCAAATTTTTCTATAGAATCGTTTTTCAATAATGACTAATCATTCCTTTACTTCCAACAATACTGTTATGTCAAATAATCGAAACATCGAGCAATTTTGCCAACACATCAGATATTACGTAAAATCTGGTATAAACTTCATTGAAAAATTTTTTTCCGCTCTATTCAATGGTGCAAATAGTAAAATTCTGAGAGTTTAATTTTTTCATCAAAAACCGTTTCAGCATTAAATTTGGAAAAGTCTAAATATAAAATTTTTAAAAAAAAGGGGGGGAACTCTTCAACGCATTGTATTGCCATGTGTGTGAAAAATTGGGAACTCGATAACTTTTCAGAAAATAGTCTCAGCATGAATGGCAAAGTTCTGGCCCAATAAATAGTTAAATAAAAGCGCATAAAAGTGCAATTAGTTCAAAAGAAAAAATAATGGCAGTCATATTTTCGCGGGCGATTTCCTCGGCGAAATTAGCTGTTATTTACGTTATGAGTGAGGAAAACCTCGACATCGCTTGTGCAACCAGCCAACTTGCTGAAATTCGAACTCTTGAACTGGACTACTAGTGCTCAGCTGTTTTTCCACGTTACCACTAGTGAGCGCATTCGAGTTTAAGTTTGATTTAACGTATTTCCCGATGTATAAGGCGTAATTTTTCTTTAAAACTTTCTTGTCTAAAAAACTTAATGCGCTTATTTAACGGTGACGCCGGCGCCAACGGCTAAAGAAACGACGACGGCGTGCGTATTAACCCGCAGAAAGCCACTCACCCGTTTCTTTAAAAAAGCGGAAGGAATGAAATTCGATTTGAGATTTACAATAATTTCTTCCACCACCCCTCTTCATTAATGAACAGAGAGGTGTGAAGGTTTCAATTGATTTCAGTTTTAGTTCGTAACAAAGAAGCTCCCCACCTCAGTGTATACTAAGTCACCTTTAACGGTAAAGGTACCCGAAAGTACCCTTTTAAGGACAAGACTGTCTACAATACAGATGAATTAATACCATGCATTTTGGGAAACTGCATCTTAGGCTCTGTGTACTTTAGGCGGCGCTAATGGACGGGAGCTCTGACGGTGATGACGAGTTGTATACTGAATAAATATTAATTCAGGTAATATTTCCTTCCTATTATATCGTAATCCAGAAACCTAATAAAAACCAGTCCATCAACCCCTCCCCAAAAAGAAGACCGCAAGGTTTCCGATTTTAATTGCCGTTGAAAAGGGTTTCTTAATTTTTTTTACGCTCTCACTGAGTTCGCAGTCTACTAATACACTCTCTCCTACTAACCCATTTTTTTAATCTTTTTAGCTTTATTATCAAGCGTTCTTCGCAATGAACGCCATGTACAATTCAACAGCAAAATTACAAAAATTTAAATTAAGCAGTATAGCGGTATACGCTTAGGATTCCCAATGCAGCGTTAAATGTTGGCATATATTTTTGTTTTTCTTTTCAGTCTTTTCTCACTTCAACATGTCAATTTTTGTCTTTTTATCATTAATTCTTTGTGCGTTTACTTTATTTATTAAATATCACTTTCTTGGCGCTTGCACCACATAAAATTCGTTTCAACAGCAAAATCCCAAAGTATTTAAAAACAAAATATTGTTAGAATTTCCGACAGGCAGTGTTGCGCGCTGGAGATAAAAATGTTTTTTTTTTTTTTTTTTTTTTTTTCCTTACAGTGTTGCCACTGCTCGCTTTGAAATAGTTGAGTTTGTTAATCAAAAATTTTTAAAGTTTTACGAAATATGAAACATAACAAAACAAATTCGAAATTCAAAATTCGAGCCTCTAGGTGCCCATGTTCGGATGAAGTACTACGTTATTCAAGTTTTCATCCTCTAGGTACCGTTTCTTTTCCACAATGCGAGAAGCATGCATACATTCATGCAGATTCTTCATTAATTTACTTTTTTAATATAATACAGGGCAATAATACTTGGTGGCAACTACACTGGTGGCCACCGTAAAAGCAACACCCTGAAGGAAGCATGCAAATAACATGAAATTTACAACATGCATTAGCGAAGGTGAGATATGCAAATGATTAGAATTTCAGCGCAGACGCACATCACGTGCGCCTGAAGCGCCACTTCAAAACGTTATTTAAGGCTTGGAGTTTTCGACGATTTCAAGTTCGGCAATTGTGTTTTTTTTTTTTTTTTTTTTTTTTTTTTTTTTTTTTTTTTCAAAAAAACAATCAATTATGCCTCGTAGTAAACAGCGATCATCGTTTGATCAAGTATCCGAGTTCGACAGAGGAAGGATAGTGGCCTACCGAGAGTGTGGATTATCTTTCAGTGAAATCGGTAGTCGTGTTGGACGAAACCAAGCAACTGTAATGCGGATATGTGACCGTTTTGATGCAGGAGGGTACGACGGGCCGACGTGTTCGATCGCATCCGCCTCAGTGCACCATTTCACGTGATGACAGGAACATTGTGCGCATGGCAGTGACGGAATGCTCAGTCACATCACGAACCATAGCACAGCACATTCAATCTGTAACGCATCATCCAGTGTCTGCGCGTACCATTCGACGCCGTTACAGAATGGTCTGTCCTCAAGACGTCCATTGCTTCGTCTACCCTTGACGCAGAACCACAGATGTCTCCGCCGTCAGTGGTGCGATGAAAGAAGGATGTGGACGGCAGAATGGAATGAAATTGTCTTTACTGACGAGTCACGCTTTTGTCTGCAACACCACGGTGGTCGGATTCGAGTCTGGAGACACCATGGAGAGAGGATGCTGAACAGCTGCGTTATGGACCGCCACACTGGTCCTGCACCGGGTATTATGGTATGGGGTGGTATTGGATATTACTCTCGCACTCCTATAGTACGCATTACCGGTACTTTAAACAGCCAGCGCTACATCTGCGAGGTGTTGGAGCCAGTTGTTCTTCCTTACCTTAACAGGGCTTGCCCACAGCCATATTTCAACAGATAATGCGCGACTACACGTGGCACGCATTGTCCAAGGGTTCTTCGTCAATCGCCAGATTGAATTGCTTCCTTGGCCGGTTCGCTCTGCGGATCTTACGCCGATAGAAAACATGTGGTCCATGGTTGCTGAACGATTGACCCAGATTACACCCCAAGCTGCCACACCAGATCAACTTTGGCAACGTGTGGAAGCTGCTTGGTCTGCTGTACGAGCAGACCCAAGAACACATCCGAAGTCTCTTTGAATCAATGCTGAGGCGCATGGCAGGGGTGATCTCCAACAATGGCAGCTACTCTGGCTACTGATTCTATAAGGAAACACACTTCACAGAAGTCTATAAATTTAATCATTTGATACTTGGTCAACATGTTATTTACTAAATAAATTTTGTTGTGATATCTCTTGTCTTTCTTTGGTGCTGCAGTTTTGGTGGCCAGCAGTGCATTTGAAAAGCGATGCGTCGTCTATAGTGATTTTTTGCAAAATGCCTCTTCGAGACTAATATCCCATTCGGGAGTAACTTCCCTTTTAAGAAAATAGTTCCTTATTTTTTTTTTTTTTTTCTTTGGGTCCCAAAATCAAGCTGCGTTTTGTACAAGAGGAAATACCGTGTTCTTGATCTTAAGTCGCTTGCACCACTGTGACTCTAAGTCTTGCTACGCTGTAGCTGCAGGGATATGTATGCACGGATACCAAGTGGGCCACTTTTTTAAAATCTGTCTCTTTTAAGCAATTGTTTTTAGAAACAGTCACTTTTCAGGTAAAACTAATTCTAATTTTGAAATTTTCAAGATTTCTATCAAAATAACTAAAAATTAAAAGGTAAGAAATCAGCCATTATTATAGGTAAAAAAAATTATTATTTAATGCTTAATTCTAATTAATTAGAATAATTATATTCTTAATTATTTTTTATTCAAAGTTAATTTTACATATGGCCATAAAAATAATTACATTTATTGGTGTTTTGGTAATGATCATAATGCTTTTAAATATATTTAGGCAACTCATTGATATTTAATAATAATAAAAAAATTGTCTTGCGTTACTTAGCATTATTAGTACCTTTTTTAATCATTTATTTTTAATAAATTGATTTCTAATACTTTTAAGAGAATGTAATCTGATATTTATAATGAAAAATAGTGTAATTTCGATAGTTTTTGAAATATTATTCTGTATTCTTGTCTTGTTAGTTTAATGCATGCTATATATATTTGGTTTACTCCCATTATAAACTCATAGTCTTGTTTAATATCACTAGTAAAATTTTATTAATGTTCTAGAGAGCAAGACTCGAGTCAGAAGACAAAATCCAGCTGCAAAAGATAAACTGATATATGAGATTTCAATATGTGTTAGGTAATTTAATAAGTTTGTTTATCTTGTTTCTTATTAGAATAATTTTTCTTTAAATTTTATTGCGTTGACTTTTATTAAGATAACTTATAACAACTTTTATTTTATGTACGAGTATATGGCGAAATAAATTTAGACTAAATGGAACATTCCAGTCCTAAAGCATACCTCCTATGCGAATGTGGTTCCATGGATCCCCGTGGACTATTTCAATGCCTCATAGATGGGGTCACGAACAGTATAAGCAGATATCACAATTAGAGAGAGGATGTACAATTGGACTAAAGGAAACAGGGTTGTCAGATCTCAAAATTGTTAGATATTTGGGTCGGATGGATACTGCTATTTGACGATAATGGCAAAAATGAGTGAACCGTGGCCGTACAGAGCGTCAAGGAGGTAACGGTTTGACCGAGGGCCAAACGTGAGGACAGAGTGATAGTTTGATCAGCGCTCACAGACCTTGATGTGTCGTAATCAACGATCCGTCATATAACTTGGACACCTTTGATGCTTTAGTTGCGTATTCTGGTGTTCAGCAGGAATTTATCCTGCTCTTACCAGAGCTTATCACGGAATCCCACTAGGGGCCTCACACATAACAAATCTTCATAATTTTTTTCACCATAAAGATGTAAACACTTGAAATTAATAAAACGAGACATCTTGTCTCTGCAGACTCGCTGGCGGGTGAGAGTGCGATGAGCTGAAGTCTGATTATGAGCGAGAAAATAGTCATGTGAATCCTACTATGCAGTCATCAAAAGTAGTAGTGTCCTAAGTGTGATTTTCAATACAAATGAAATAATATAAATAATGTAGAAAAAAATGCATTATTAGAAAAACATAACCCTATGTACATTATTTACAAAGTTCAACGTATGAAGTAAAACCAATTCTCAGCATCTTAAGATGGAGCACTGGCCAATCACCATAGAGACATAGATGGTAGCAGTCCTGTTTCGAACACTTACGTTGCTGCAGCAAAATAACTCATAGAGTTCGTGCTTGTACATTTTTTGCAGAATATATATATATATGCAGTATGCCAAAATGTTCAGAAAAATGCCCCCAATTCAGAGGCACTGACTAACTAAAGTCTACTGATTGCCTGGTACGATCAGGTGATGTTTTGAGTCTGCATTCTACCTGGCATCGTGCGGACTGGAGTGCAGTTGTTTTCAGCGATGTTTCCCACTTTGAACTGAGCCTCAATGAATAGCAAAGTCGTGTCCATAAACACCCATAACAGCATTGGGATACTCACCTGACTGTCGACCGCCACACAGCGCGTTTATCGGGAGTTATGGTACGGGGTACCACTTCATTTGATAGCCGGACCCGTGACACCCTTAAAGAACGATGGTTCATCGACAAGATTCTATTCCCCGTAGTGCTGCCTACCTTTCACGATCCCAAAGGCATACATTTCAACAAGATAACAACTTTTCTACTGCTTATCTTCGCGCTTCTCGAACATTTCCATAGCCAGGGCAATTGCCAGATCTCTCCCAAATAGAGCACGTTTGAGCTCTGATAAGCAGACTGTCTCTAAACGTCTGTCGAAAGCGCTGATCCAAATCCCCAATCGGAATGTGTTAGGCAAGCAATTAGGAAGGCAGACATCCGCTAACTCTGCGAGTCAGACTGCAGCCGCATAACTTGTTTGCATCAGGGCCAGAGGTGGGCCAATACATTGTTGACATTTTTTGTTTCGCCCTTCTAGCTGTATTTCCTGAACAAAACACTCATTTCCTACGAAGCGTTTTTTTAGATACACATACATCACATCTACCGATTTTCATCTCATTCGGATAACTCCTTCTTGATGCTTCGCTTTTTATGTTCTCGAATGTATATTGAGCTGCTTTTCCCTTGATAAATCCGGCTCAAACCTCGAGTTGAGCTATTTACCATTTGTTGCAATTTTTTGTACATATCGTGTATTTTTGAAATATGCTTAATTTTTACAAGAGTCCTTTTAAAATTATTTGTGCTTTAAAATTTATTAATTTTTTCTCCCTACCACCCCTTTTTGATTTTAAAGTCATCTCGATTTGTAATTTTAGTATTAAGTTTTTACGAGATAGCTTTTACTACTTTATTATTGTTTCTGGTTGTTGAATGATTTTACATTTTTGCTAAGGAACTATAGAGTCAAATGTATTTTTAGCATAAGCTTTTAGATGTTCCTCTTACTTCTAAAATTTTAAAACATTTTTGCACCTCAATGCGCAAAAATTCTTGACCACTAAGGTCTCTCTAATTCATGTTGTCTTGCTACTTTTATATATATATGTATGTATGAATATGTCGCATAGTGCGGCTTCACTCAGTGTACCCTTTTACAGTACGGTTAGTAATTTGAGAAACAAATTTCATTAAGTGATGCTTGATTGTCTTATGCGGTTCAGAAAGGTTTTGCGCCAAAATAATACAACCTAAATCTGCGCACTAAAATATGTACTGCCAAATTGCTGACTGGTTATGCGTGTATGCGTATTCGTCGAGAGACATGGGAGACTCACAGAGCGAACTTAGTCACTATGATAGCCATGTCGCATGATCATTTGTCATTCTTATCATCTAATTCACGTCACCTGATTCGCTGTTTTAAGTGTGGTGAATATCCAGGCCAATCTCGTAAAATAATTTTATTCTCCACCATGACCTTCTGATAGATTTCGATTGTGGCATGGAACCAAATCGTATTGAAATATCCTACATTTCCAAGAAAGGCACAATCCTATGTTTTTCTATATACTTCGATGAATTCATCATTCTGTCAATAGGAGCAGAATTTCTAGGCCCATCTGCAGGGGGGACACCCAGAATATTTGTTTTTTAGGACATTTTATTGTTTGTTAGATATGTTGAGGTTTTACTGATTCACCCTTGTTTCGCCTAACAGTATTAGATGTGTGACCATGATCAAACAAATAAGTCTCAACTCAGAAAATGACCTTTTACCAGTCAATTTGTGGTCCAATTTTTGTATTTTCTGGGTTAAAATAATCATTTTTGTTTCATTTGATGGGTTAAAATTAGTATTTAATTAGCGTTCTCTCCTTTCGACCAGCTGCGAAAGTCTATTCTGCACATTTCAAGGATGCATATCAATAGCAATGTACAATAGATCTGTTTCTAGGTCTTTTTTAGTTTTTTTTTGGGGGGGATTAATAATGCTCTTTCGGTATAGGGATCAATCACATTTTGGGATTTTTTTCTTTTGCTTTCGTATTTGCCTTTCCTTTCAGGAGAAAATGATCGAGTTTCACTGTGTCTCCTCAGAGTTGGAGAAACACTCGATTTTCCAACTCCCACCGCAGAAACAATTATTTTTACCGGTATGGATATGTGACTGTTAATTGCGATAATCTTTACTCACTTTTTAGACGTTATACTCCTTTTTATTACACTAAAATGAACGAATGCAAAACATATTTAAAAACTATGCAAAAGCAACTTCCTCTTCTCACGCAGACGAGCTTAAGAATGATACAATAATGCTAATTTATTGTCTAAACCAGTTCTAAGTAGTCGAAAGCAAACATTCAGATGACATTAAGACAGATAAAACTGCTTTGAGGGACTTATTAGAGCCATCTAGTTACCAACTTAAAATTCTGTAAAAAAATTTGCGTTGACTCAGTCGACTTGCACACTCTTCAAGGTCGGAGAAAGACCTGTTGTGATACCAGGGTATATCTTTTTGATTGTTGACGATGGCCGTCTTTCTTGTCTTTTGATTCAAACTTTCTTTATAAGCAACGATTTGAGATTTTCCCCATTCTACTACTGGAGATTTTAACCATATTGGAGGTTGTAACCATCTTGTTTGAATAAGGTATCGAACAGAACTTCACCTACATGAAATGTCCGCTAAATTAAGATTTCCCGGAATGTGATGCCGGTCATCAGGGTGAGAAAACTCTCGTATTTCCTATACTCTTTTGATATTACCCATTTTTTTATATTACCTTTTGAACAAATATTACCCAATGTTAATTTCTTTTGATCAAACTTAAGAGATTGCTAGAATTAGTCCAACAGTTGGTTTTTAAACTCCGGGCTATTTAGATCTTTCTTAATGTAGACAGCCAAACGAGCAACAATCAGGCACGCTAGGAGCTCCAGCCTGAGAACTATGATTGTTTTTAGCGGAATTATTTTATTTTTAGTTCTAACGAATTCGCAAGATACGAACTATTCGATTTCTATTCGGATAAAAATACAAGCTGCTTAAGCACTCTTGCTTGTATCAGCAAATACGTATAAATTACACCGTTTCGCTGGAGAAGTTCTCTTCATCATCCATCTGAAAATATAAATATCTTTCAGAAGTGTTATGTGCCTTTGCCAGTCTAAAACTTTCTTCGTGATAGCCTCGGATAATTCGCCCCATGGTATCTTCTGTCTCCAACATTCTTATAGTAGCAGTTTTAGCAACAAGGTAAATGGGCATACAATTCCCAAATGATCCATTTGTTGCCCGGTGGCTAAAATTTTCCTTTATGTAACAAGATCTATAGTTTGGTGGCAAGTGGAATTGCAAAACAATGTACCCTCATGTCAAATTTCACTTTAATCCTAAAACCGACACTACGTTTTCTTCATTTGGATTCTCCAGTTCATCATTATTCTTACTAGGAAACTTGGCAGTACCTGGCATGGAGTAATTGCCTCGCTAATTTCTTAAATGAATTTTTTCTGGAAGTAATTAATTCTCTAGAATGTTCAACGATCAGTTATGACACTTTAACATCACCGAAACTAAAAGGACAATTGCCGTCATAGAAGAAGTCCAGTAAAATCAAATTAGTGTCTTTAAACTGAGGAGGAGCACTCTCTAAATGATGTTATAAAGTGGCACTCAACATGAAAGGACTGGAACGTTAAGTCCAAACACGACATATACTTTTACCCTATTTGGATCACCTTCTTCTATCCAGATAAATTCAAGGTAATTTCTGTCACTTCTAGAAACACTAATTTCTAACGAGGTTATATCTGCTGTAAAAGGAAATTCTTTCATTCAGAAACAAGTTATTATCGCTGGTATGAGTTCCGTAAGATTCAGATCTTTACATTTAGAGATACTGAATTGTTTGTAAGTGCAGAGACATCAAATACGAGCTTAATTTTCGTTGTTGCTGAATTCTTAACTACCGCTCAATGATGCAGGAAATGGCCAGGAGCCATTTACATTATTTTCCTTCAGTTGTTCGATTATTCCGTACTTTAACCACGTTTGTAAGACTTCTTAATAGGCTTCTAAAATGTTAGCTGCTTTTAGTCTCCTAATGTTAATTCGCAATATTCTTTCGGCTTAGTCTTTACCTTTAGGGTGTGTGAGATGCAATATGAGCCAAAATAATGTTACTTCGTATTTTCCCTCATCATTAACTTTGAGGCTACGTTGAAAATTTTCGAGTGCGGTTTAGTGGATTGCTTGATCGCTTGTTCGATTTTGTGATCTTATGATTTTGACAAATAAGCATTTGGTCATATTTCACAGCTTTGTAGGTTTATGAATTTAGTATGTCATACTTGTTAACACAGTAAGTTGTTGGTCTATCAAGAAAATTAAATCAACTGTAAATATACACCCATTTTTATCCTTCTTCATTACTCGACTACATATATGATATTTTGTTTTTCTTATTATGTTTATGGAACATGCATTTTTCAGAAACTTCTGGTGACATTTTAACAATTTTACATTCATATATTTATTTATTATATTTGTATTGATTTTTATAACTCTGATTGATTATATATAATTATAATGTATATTATTCCGGAATAATTTCTAACTAATTTATTCTTCTCGAACTGTGTATTTGTAATTTTTTGTACTCTCATTATTTTAATTAAAATGTATAAATAACTTCATATAAACTTTTCTTTTATTAGATATTTTGGTGAAAATACTGCAGAAATGAGTATTGTGGAGGTTGGATTATTTTCTGGCTTTCAACCAGAAGTAGAAGACCTAAAATGGGTAAAAAAAACTAAATTTTAATATTTACTAAAATAAAGTTTTGTAAAATTGTAAAATAAGTATAAATCGATAGATATGAGTAATGAAATGTATAACTTAGCATTCTATTTAACTTTTTCAGTTAACTTAGCGTGTTAACTTCAGTTAACTTTATATTTCCAAGGTTTGTTTAAATCTTCTTGCCAAAAATAATTTAATTATGCCACTATAGAAAAATGACTTTGCAATATAGTATTGTGTATAAATTTACAACACACAGAATTGACATATAAATTCAATCATCAATAAAACGAGTGAGCAAAGTCAAATCTACATGATAAGTGTTCAGATCTAAGCATCACATTTTATTCCCATTTTGATGACCTTCTTGAAGTTTGTTATTAGGTTATTTCGAAACAGGAGATATGAAAAATGAGCAATGCTCTCGCTGGGACTCCAACCACGTACCTCTTGGATTTGCGGCGAGCGTGCTGACCACTACACCGTGAAGGTATGCTAAGAAGGCGGTAGAAAGACTTTATAAGTTTTAAATCCTTTTTTCTAGGATTTTTTTTTTATAAAATTTTGTTTAATAATCTCACATTCCTCTAGTTTTTCTGCTAGGTCACATAGAGTTTTTAATTTATCCATTCGTCAAGAAAATTCTACCTTATTTCCATTATAACCCAATAGTTAATTTGCTCAGTAACTATTAAGTCTTTCAGTTTCTCAAATGTTTTAATTTATAAGTTCGCAATCCACTCCAAAAACTATCTGTAAAGTTAATAAGCATAATTTCTCCAAGACTCCCGCTTTCCTAGCGTGCTTCGTGGTGTAGTGGTTCTGCACACTGGGCCGGTATTCCAGAGGTCCGTGGTTTGATTCCCGGCGAAGGCGTTGCTAATTTTTCATCTTGCCTGCTTCCAAAAAAATACCTAATGTCTCTACAGTGGCGCTCGAACTAAAAGGGTGTTAGATGAAGATTCTCCACACCCAGGATTTGGCGACTGGAGCCCGTTAAAACTCCAGCCGCCCTTTAAAAGGTGGAGTATATAAGGTATTTCCCCTGCCTTCCTAGCGTGCCTTCGTGGTGTAGTGGTTCTGCACACTGGGCCGGTATTCCAGAGGTCCGTGGTTCCCTGCGAAGGCGTTGCTAATTTTTCGTCTTGCCTGCTTCGAAAAAATACCTAATGTCTGTACAGCTTAACTTCTTTAATTATTTCTTTGATTATTTAAATAATTTAATTTTATACATCGTTTTAGATTTATTATAGTATTTGAAAGAAACATGTGGCAACAAATAGATAATTTTTCAAATAACATAAATTTATATGCATTCTGAGTTATAATATGGGCGAAATGTAACGCTGTTATGTGAACCTAGCGCCTGAGTGTCGCTATGGTAAACAAATATAATGAATTTTAAAGAGTGCATTTATTCTATTGTGGTTTATGCGCTATAGACGAAGTAGATTTAATTCAATCCAGTAAGTTTGAATAAAATACAAGAAAAAATGCGTTAAATTTAATATTCCGTGCAAGGAAGTCATGTGGTGTACACATCAGATTTTTAATGGTAATGAAAATAATGTAATCTCTAACTTCAAATACTTAAAATCTTTCCATCACCATATTTGCAACAAATACGTAATTGAAATGTATTCGCGGGCCGCATAAAATTGCTTTGGGGACCGCATGTGGCTCGTAAACCGCCAGTTTAAAACCTCTGCACAATGCACTGACTGGGACTTATTTCCTACGACCTTGTGTGACATTCATCATGCCCAATTTAATTAACACTGTTTGCCCATCCTATTTGAAAATTCAGCTAAACTTCTGCTCATTTGCGTTTACTTAATAAACACTCTATGTACTGATGTTTTAAGCGCGGTCTGGTAGTTTTTTTCTCCGTACTGCTGCTTCCCTTAAAAGCAGAACAAAATTCCAAAACCACATGACAAGCACGTTAACTAATTAATAATGAAATAAAAGGCATAAATATTTTATTTTTATTTCTGAAAGTATATTTCAGTAACAAACTTTGTATTTGCTTTCGTTATTTTTACACTCAAAAACTGAAAATTTATTGCATTTAAACTTGCAGTTGCAGAAGAGTCCATATCATCTGATTCAAAGGTATGAGACAACTAACAGAGGAATAACTCTTTATTTAGCGACAGTAAGTAATTCGCTTAGTTATATCATGCTGAAATATTACTTTGCTTTTGTTTTTGCTTTTTAGCTTCATGATTAAGTTAACCCTCAAGTACATTGCATAGTAATAAAAGCTATCTTAGTCTTCCAATTAAGTAGGTTTAATTTCGAATAAACATATCACTACATTATTCAGTAATTTTACCTATTTGTCATTAACTAGATAATATAAATTAAAAGCATTTCAGCCTTACAATCTCCTTTTCATGTATGGAATACTTGTGGAATGGCAGTATTTTAAAAAATAATAGGCTTAAACAATATAATATTTTTATAGTAGTTTGTACACAATAAATAAGAATTTATGCTTTACATACGTATATATATGTGTGTGTGTGTGTGTGTAAAATGTAAAAATTGAAAGACACTTAAGCGGCAACAAACCTTTAAATTTCTAATTTTAAATTAAAGTACAACCCCTTCAAGTCATCATCTGATTTTTTCTGCCATAACTGCAATGCGAAAACTCTTGCCCAGTCGTTGTGCAGGATTAAAACGAAGATTTTCCAAGCTTGCAACTAACTAAGCATCCTTTTTTGTTGCCTGCGCTTGCTAGATAAAGGACGTCTCTTGCTTGGGCGCTTCTGTTCAATATTAATAATGTAATGCGTTATAATTAAAATCGAGGGGCGCAAATTATCCCAATTGTGCTGTGTTATGCCACAGAGTAATCAACAAGTAATAAAGATATGTTCGCATTATGAAGATTTTGTGATTCTTCAAACGTTACATTTAGTAAGACGCTACCAGTAAATCCGCCCTGTCTAGTTATGTACAACGCAGCAACTTCGAACCATGTGTGTTAGGTTCTATTAATGGTTCTATTAAATTCTACCTTTGGACCAATTTATACATTAAGTCGACAGGATACAAATCTCTGTCGCTATCTCCTGTGGATGAAGTACCTACAACGAACTAAATTATCATCACAATTTAGTCTACTCCACGGTTTTCCTTTATCTTGTGTTTGAAAATTCCAATGTAAAATTCATTTGAAATTAAATAATTGCTTCTTTCTTTACAGAATTACAACGGCAGCAACAAAAGAAAAGATAAAAATTTCCGCCTCTGTTACTGGTTTTATACTTCGCGAATTGCGCGCTAGAAATGCGCGTTATGATCGCAATTCCTGTTCATTTGCCTTGAAACTTTGATCATTTGCATGTTCGATCAAGCTGTTTTGGCACACCAAATTTTGTCACGATCGCAAAAGTCCTTCTTGGTGCTTCGATTTTTTTGCAAAAGAGTGTATATAATTTGAATAGTAAATATGCTCCGAAAGAATCTACATAAAAACTGCAGAAGAAAGTTAAAATACAGTTAATTTGATACAAATGTACAAAGAGCATAGGAAACTGCTGGTCATTTTCATCCGAGTACTAAAATAATGTCCTGTAATACCTATAAAGCACTTTTCTCGTCTGTAACAAAAATATTGTGCAATTTTTACGAAGTTTAAATACAATAAGTCTTGTGTGCACTAATGTTTCATGAAAGCACACATGTGCTTAAAAGTTAAGAGAGCAAAATTTACAAATTACATGCTTCTATAAATTTATCTAAATGTTTGATTAACGCATTTGTTTTTGCCTTTTCTTGGCATTGTTGTAATGTTTTGTATTGTTTTTATTTATTTGTTTGTTTAACTGTTGCTTATTGGGTTACAATTTTGGGCTCTATTTTTGAGTAACTGAATTTGTGGCTTCGTGTGCTAAGTGCTAATTTAATAATTGTAAGTGCTAATTTAATAATTTGTGGCTAAGTGCTAATTTCTGAAGTAGAATTGTACATTTTTATGATAACTGAACCTAACAAATTTCAAATTGTGAAAATAGCCCATATAGAACCCAGGATGTAGGTAGCAACTCTTCGGATATGCTTGGCGACAATTGTTGTTGCCATGTGGGCGCTATTTGATGATTTCTTGCCCACTAGGAGTTTCGGAAAGCTCATTTTCGTAGCTCTAAGGGCGATTTTTCCGAAAGCTTAACAAGTTCTCACTGGCGTGCATCACCGGTGGGTCACTCTTGAGTCTTCCACCAAGCTACATGCATCACCGATGGGTCATGCTCGAGTCTCCCGTCTGGCGACTTGCATCACCGGTGAGTCACTCTTGAATATTAGATCAGATTCTACTATCTTTAACAAAATCCTTGTCTGAAGAGGTTGAAGGTATTCTTCATCTTGATGCATTTCTCCTGCTTCCATTTGCAGACTCATCAGACGAATCATTTATTTCCATATCCATGTTATCTGTTATTTATATGGGCAAAAATTAAAAAAGAAAAAACTGCTAGGCACCATTCTAGTCACATCTACTGGACGAATGTGGGGTCAGGATGAGAAAACGGCACATGATACACAACTTGCAAAGTCAGCTCAGACATTTTGTTACTATCCGAAGAGTTGCACATATAGTGTCTGAATAAGCGAAAGTATCACGTCGCCTGGTGAAGCAAAGCATGAATTCGAGCGTCGTCTCACAGCATTTTTTTGCTATGTGAATATTGGCGCGGCGTGAACGCGTTAGATAAAGTTTGGCAGATATTCCATAACCACGTGGAAAATGCTGGGATATGGATTTGAACAATTTTAGAGAGTTTTAAATGAACGGATTTGAATATTCGATATGCCATTATGGGTTACGGTGCATCGGATAACGATTTATGGTGTAAACATAATCATAGTGAAGATGTGATTGGCGACTTTGCTGACTATTTAAGACATCGTGTTAAGCTTGAAAATGATATTCAAGAACCTGAGGACCATCTCGAAAGACTCAAAAAGGATATGAATTTATCTATTTCCAGCTGTTCGTCGTATGATTTACAAATAAGTCGCAAGTTTCGGAAATATGTACAAGATAAGTGCGTTTTACACTACAGCAAATATGTTCAAAGTAGTAGTGAGGAAATTTGTAGTTCTGTTAGAAAATCTCTTTCGAACAGTCTCTTCCGAGTAAAGTCGTCATGATAAGCCCATGACATGAAGACTTTTTACTTTTATAACAACAGTTCCTTTATAGGGTTTTCCTTATTTTGCATAACAAATTTAAGTTTGATTTCCTGTTCTCAACTACCCCTCACATTCTCTCGCCAGGATGTAAATTTAAAGTTAAATGAAGTGCTATTTAAATGTGTGATTATCTCAGTTTATTCAGAGCGTGTTTCGCTAGCCAAGCGCACGTTTTGTTGCTATTTCACGATCACGCTAGTAAGCCTCTTTCTTGGCCCTATCAGATTAGTATCACGCCGGTTAGATTTCTGTGAGTCCACCCTTTAGGCGTAAACTTAAGTGCGCGTTTGCATTATTTATTTCAGGTTTGGATTGTATTATATTCTATATTTTAGTTCCCACCGCAAGTGGACTGTGTTTTTGTAACGAAGTCCGTGCCTTTATGTTAAATTAGTTTGAATTATAAAGGGTTATTTTTCACCTTCTTCTGTGCTGGTAATTTATTTACGTCTGTGCGAGAATTGGCCAGGTTCATTTAGGATCTAATTTAGTTTATGTGGAATAATAGAGATAAGTCTTACACCTTCACTTCCTTTTTGAATCTTTTTCTATAAAAAATTAAAAAACTCTAAAATAAACTTTATGGATTTTTCTACCCATATCTACAAAACAATTATTAAAAACTTTTTGACCACTTTTTGGGTACCTTTTTGAGTCTACTATTTTTAAAGATTAATTTAAAGTTTTACACTGAATGATTTTCTTTATTACCATTTTAGTTTTACAAGAATCAGAACTTGATTAAATTTCATCTTTGTTTCAGTTTTTAGCCTTTTGAGCGATTACTTCTCGCCAAGGTGTTTTAGTTTCGACAATGAAGCCAAAATGGCAGACCTATACGTCACTACTGTAACGATCTTTATAATTTCGATTGTGTTCTAATGAAAATGCTCGAAGTTTTTAATTGCTTCTTGTGAGTTTTAATTAAGTCTTTTCACTAAAGTTTTATAATTTCACTTAGGTTTTAAATTCTACGGATTATATTCTATTTGTGTAAAAGTAAAATTTTGATTTGAATGTTTCACTGAAGTATTTTATTACTTCACTTACGTTTTCATTTCTTAACTAAAATTATGTTTATTTAATGCGAAAAATTCTGATTAGAATTTACTTTTTCCCCTTGCTTTGAAGAGAGGCCAGAATTTTTGGGTGAACTATTATAATTAAAATACACTTATGTCCATAAATTAAGGATGATGCAAAATCAGGCAAAGGAAGAGTTAGAAGCAAAACAAATTTGACTTATTTATAAAGCTTATTTATTAAACAAAAGGTAAAGAGCAAAAACAGATGCTATACGTTTGATATTATTAAAAAAATTAGCGATTTTTTCTCCCTGGAGCAAATTACAAAAAACACCTATTTACAAATAAACCAATATTACATGGTTGGTATGATTGTTAATACATTGTATGTCTCCCAGACGATGCAATACAGTCCGTACAACGCCTAGGCATGCTGAGTATCAAATTATCGATCTGATCTTGGGGGATATTACACCACTCAAAAAGCAATGCTCTCCGAAGTTCCGGTAGACATGTAGGAGGAGGTTGACGGGCTGCAACTCGTCGGCCAAGCATGTCCCACACGTGTTCTGCTGGATTCAAGTCCGGTGAGAATGCTGGCCAGTCCATACGGGTGATATCCTCCGATTGAAGGCATTCGCTTACGATGTTTGCACGGTGAGGACGGGCGTTGTCATCTGTAAACACAAATTGTGCGCCCATGGCGCCCCGAAACAAACGTACATGTTGTTCCAGAATGACGTCCCGATAGATTTGGCTTGTCATGGTTCCAATTTGAACATGCAGGTCAGTTCTAGAAACCAGAATAATTCCACCCCAAACGAGCACTCCTGCACCACCGTTCAATGATGTTTTCTTGGTGGTAACGGGTACCTGGAGCTCTCCATATGAAAGTCCGGCGAGAATCAGACTGCAAGCTAAACCTGGACTCGTCGGAAAACATCACACAAGCCCACTGTTGCGGTGTCCACAATGCATGCTCTCTAATCCAGGCTAACCGCAGGCGACAGTGAGTTGCAGTAAGTGAAACGCATCTGACAGGTCTACGAGCATATAGACCAATCTGCCCTAAGCGTCTGTACAGGGTCTGCCTTGAAATTGTCGTACTAGTGGCTGAAGAGAGCTGACGAGACAGGTCTGAGGCTGTGCTCCCCCAGTTTCTTTTGGCAGTAACTTCCAAATACCGGTCCTCATTCGGCGTTGTAACTCTGGGGCGACCTGTGCTGTAACGTCTACTCACATTACCATCATCTTGGAATCGTTGCCAAAGCCTGGAAATGACACTCTGGGCAATTCCAAGTTCGCCGGATACTTCCAGTTGGGTACGCCCACATTCCAGACTGCCAATAATTCTACCACGTAAAAAATCATCCAAATGCGTCATTTGTGTCATAACTATTCGGTTATTGCACTTAAATGCCTATAAAGCGCCTGCGAACAATTTTACTTCTTTGCCTGTATTCCTTATATATCACTCTCTTACACTCTCGTCATTGTGACGTACCATCGGTGTTATCTGGTTACTTCCTGAAATTTGCATATGATTCTTGAAGATGTGTGTAGTGATTTTACAGGTGATATATTTATTTTAGAGTTCGATTTCCGCGTGACTTCGAATTATCCTTAATTTATGGACATGAGTGTACATTGAAATGGTTCATTGGCTAGTTCTGGATACAGAAAAGCAAGGATTTTTATGGAAGAGAGATTTCAGTTGATTTCAGTGTTCTTTCTCCTGACGAAGTGGCATTGAAATTGATTGAATTTCTCTCCTGCTATATTCGTTTTTCTTTAAATTTCTTTAATTTTTTTAATTGGGGTATTGCTTGTTTGAAATGTTTTGGTTTTAACATTTTTTAAATTCTTTATTGCATTTATAGGATTAATTGAAATTTTTTAATTATTAATTTCAATTTTTGCTGTTTGTGAAAAATTAGTTCTAAATTTCTTATTTTATGTCTTGTCTTTACTGATAATTTTTCAGCAGCTTAATATGCGAAAATACTAGGCATGTTTATATTTTGTTTCTAAAACATTGTTTAGTAATTATGAAATATACTGATATATCAGCGTCTATAATAGTGTTATAAAGCAAAATGTAAAAAATATTTGGGAAATGTTAACGAATTTGGTCTTTTTTTCTTTATGTTCAGATTCCTAAAGATAAGGAGTACTGTTTCAGTTTCCACGTGACCAGGAAATTTACTGTAGGAAAAACACAAGCAAGTGTTATAAAAGTCTATGATTACTACAATCCAGGTAATTTAATAAATATGTGATGCATTCCATGATACTTAAATAATGTGGATAATTTTAGTTAGATTGGATTTCTGGATGATTTAATTAGATTTTTCAGGTGAGAGTTTGTTAAATTTTGGTTATTTGCAAATTAAACTTTAAAAAATTACTTTGTTCATTTTTAAAAATTGCGTTTGTCATTTTTTCCTTGATTTTTTTAACTGGATTAAAAACTCAGATTTATTTATTAACGCATTTTAATGTTTATTTTTATTTTTCACAGATATTTCATGCACTATGTTTTATAGCCCTTCAAAGAACAGTACTTTATTGAATACTATATGTGATGAAAACCGAGATTGTCAGTGTGCTGAAGGTAAATTATATGTTTCCAAGCTAATGTTATTGATTTTTTATATTGCATTATAAAAAATAAAATCTCTTTTAAATCTCTTCGGTAAATATTACTTATCTAATGCGTATTCAAAATATTAAATCATGTAATATCTAAAAAATCAATTAAAAAATTCTTCGACAGCTATATAATACATATTTTTGTTGTAATAAGAACGAGTACTGTAATTTATTTCATGGATAAATCAAAATGTTTTAAAAATCAAAATTTAAAAAAATTAATGAATAAACTTTGAAAGCTTTCAGATTATACATTACACCCAAAGGGCCGTTTTTTAAACGTTTTTTGTGTTACCTTTATCATGTTCTTCGCATTTAAATCATAAACTTCTGCTTAACAGCGATACCGCAAAATAATTTTAAAATGAGCATATCATTAGAATTTCCGAAACACAGTCTTTCGCACTGGAGAATTTTTTTTTTTCGTAGAGTGTTGCCATTGCTCGATTTTAAATCATTAAGTTTGTTAATCAGAAATTCTTTAAAGTTTTACAAAATATGAAATAGATAACAAAACAAATTCCAAATTCGGCCTCCCAGATGCCCATATTCGGGTGGAATCGTACGTTCTACAAAATTTGATGGCTCTAGGTACCGTTATTTGGTCACAGTGCGAGAAGCATACATACATTTATGCAGAATCCTCATTATTTAATTTCTTTAAATATAATACAGAACGATAATATTTGGTGGCAACAATTTGAAAAGGGAACCGACATTTATAGCGAACCAAGGCAGAATGCCGAAACAGCATTAATAGTCTTTCTGGGCAAATTGCCCCTTTGGACTAATAAAAAAGCTTTTGCACCAAGCTGTTTTTTATCTATATCACTAAAAATAGTTTTATAATTAAAATAATGACGCAAATGCTCATTATCCATTTTCTATTGCATATATCAGAAATTAAACATATTTTAAATTATACCAATTAAACGTATTTTTAAAAAATAAAATTAAGTTTTATGTAATTAATGTATTTAATGCTTTCAAATTGGTTATTAAGGAGTTATAATTTGAAAGATAAACTAAAGATCGTATACCACATTTATTTCCGAAATTGGTTAAGTTTTGGGTTACATAGAAGGCACATAAAAGCCTCAACCTATCTCACAGTGCTATCATATTCTAGATCACAAAAATTGCATCATAATTAGGGTTAGGTTTCTTCCAGAACTATGAAGAAACCTGGAATCAGCAAGAACGAATTGGAGGAAATAAGCAGTGTACATCCGTAGAAATGCTAAAGGGGATCAATCTAATAACAAAAGTATAACTAATTCGAAAATAAGTCTTTTATTATTTCTGTAATAAAATGCAAAGTAGTTACAAGTCCCTCTCCCCGCCTTCCTGCCAAAATCCAACGAAAACTGTGACAGAATATCTATTTATTTATTTGGTACTAGCCGCTAGGCGGCCAGCCTTCGTCTGGCTTTTAAATGTACCAGAAAAATGCCTGAAGGGAACATTAAAGATTAAATTTAAAAACTGCACATAATTTTACTCTGCAAAACAATTTTATCAAAAAAAACAAATAACAACAAAAATGAAAAAACAGAAATTTCAATAAAAATGCATTATATATATATGAAAAAACTACAATGAAATAAGCAATATCCCTTAAGATAAGTATTAATTATCTAATAAATAAATCAACCAACTTCTCATTGCAAAATCTTGAGAATTCAAATGGTATAAAGGAAGTTAAGAACTTTGTTTTCCAAAAAAAAAATCATGCGAAACTTTTTACTGAATTAAAATTATACATAAATATAACATAAAAAATTACAATGAAATAAGCAAAAAAATCTCATATTTTCAAGAGAACAGTCAGCACTCCATTATCCAAAGCAATGAATGAAAAACTGTTGCCCAAACCACATTTTAAAGAATGAAACTATCATCAGAAAGCAATAACCAATCAAAATTGTGCTTTGTGGATGACAGAAACAATGGGTTTCAAAAACCACCCCTAGGTGACGTATCATAGCTTTATTCTGAACACATAAATAATCTACAAAAGTTTACAAAACATGCTTGATATGATGTTCACCGTTGTCTGCTTCCATCTGGAAGCGTAAAATCGCATGTCCAGCTGTTGAAAGCAGTATGAACTGGGTAATGTTACGCACATGGCGTTCTATGCTTTCTTTAAGATCGGATAGACATGTGATGGGATTATGGTAGACCTTGGCCTTGAGGTATTTCCACAGCCAAAAGTCGCAAGGATTCAGATCAAGAGCTCTAGCAGGCCAAGCTGTAGGAAATTGCCGGCTGATGATTCTATCGTCACCGAAATGGCGGCGGAGCACTTGTTTCACTCAACGGGCGATGTTTGGAAGAGCATCCTGCATAAACACTGTGGTTGTATCACATCGCCTTGTCTGAACAGCCGGAATAACGGGTAGCTTTAATAATGAAGCGTATTGTTGCAATAGTAGGAGGTACTGATCATTGGCATGGACCTTATATGAAATAGACCAACCCAAATGGGCTTTCTCCTTTGTCCTGGCGCATTCCCGGCTGTCAACTTGACCACATCCGGAGGAGTAGGGACGACTTGCAGAAACTTAACAATAGTTGGCTATTTCAGCGCATATAATTTTCAAGAAAAAGCTGGTGACAGCGCCTCATTTCACAAATTAGAATTTTTAGATATTTTTATTTTTGAAACTGAGATTGATTTAAAAAATTTAGTATGTTTATCAAGCGTAATTAATGTTCTAAATAATTATAAAGCTGTTGCAGGCTTTCAGGTCTGGATATTTTTTTAGCTTTTCCTATGGTGTAAGGAAATTTGTATCTACTTCTTTTAAAAAATAATATTTTAAATCTGAACTAATAAAAAATTCAAACAAACAATTTTCTCTTACAATTTTTATGCTGTTTACGGGTGTAAATAAGAAAAAATATGGATTTTAGAAAGTTTTTGTTTAAAATTCTTAATTGTACTGCTTTTTTAAAATTATAAGTGAATATTATAGCATAATATTCTACAAAGGAGTTTTATTTCAATAATATTTCGTAATACATCATAGTGATAAACACTTTTAACACTTTAACAACTTTTATGCTTTTATTCTAATGTTAAAAATTGTATTTTAACTGTAATAATTAATTGTGCTAGTATTTTATAGTGATTATTTTTTTAATTTATTTCTAGTTCTGCATAAGTTTTCTTATTTATTGTGAATTTATTTTATTAGCCCAAAGGGACGGCAGCTCAGAAAAGCTATTAATTTCGAAACGGTATTTTCCTTTGTTTCACTATAAATGTCCGTTTTACTTTGCAAACTGTTGCCACCAAATATTATCCACCTGTATTATATTTAAAGAAATTAAATAATGAAGAATCTGCATGAATGCATGTATGTTTCTCGCACTGTGAGTAAACGACGGAATTTAGAGCCATCAAATTTTGAATAACGCAATCCTCTTCCCGAACATGGGCACCTGGAAATTTCGAATTTGTTTTAACCTGTTTCATATTTTGTAACTTTAACGAAGTTTTGATTAACAAACTGAACTAGTTCAAAGAGAGCAATGGCAACCCTGTACCGAAAATAACATTTTTATCTCCATCGCGTAAATTCTAAAGATATGCCATTTTCAAATATTTTGAGATATTGCTCTTGAATTGAATTTTATGTGGTTTACTTGCGAAGAACATGATATTTAATAAATAAAGGTAACACACAAAACGTTACAAAGAAACGCTTCTTTGAGCCTAATATAAAATCAAATCTGAGTGCTTCCAGAGTTTATCTTTTTTTTTTTTTTTCCTTTCATTACACTCGCAAAAGTTTATGCTCCGAATTTTTTGAACTACTAAAATAAATAATCATGTTGTAATGTTAATATTTAATGACCACGTAATCAAATAAATGATCGTCTTGTTATGTTATAAAAATTTTAAAAACTACTGACTGAAAATACTCATAAAATCAAAGAAACTATCAGATCTTGTTTAATTGTACCTTATTTGTTTCAAAGCATCATGTGCTATCAATATTATTTAATTTTACTTTATTTTTACACAGAAATAAGTTTATAAGTTTTGCGTTTAGAATTTTTACCGTTTTGCCAAAGTAAAGATGATTGTACAAGAATTACGCGTGAAAAAAATGCGCAAAATGCAGTAAAAAATGCATTAATGAGATATATTAAATCTTATTTGCAAAAACTGTGACTTTCATAATCTCATCACTTATACAAAGTATCACATTTAATAATTAAAAACAAGTTATGTGATACAAACGCCATAGGTTTCCGTGTTAAAGTAAGCCAGATCGTCCCTACTCTTTCTTGCGGACATGCGGGTGACGCACGCTCCGCCCACTGGGTTAGTCTATCTCTTATAAGGTCCATGATCGTTGGCCGGCGACGGTGCATGTCACAGGCCCTGCGGCGCTGTGATCTTCGGAAAACAACGGACCCACAATGAAGGTTGCAGTAAAGCCGCACCAAACCGTTACATGCGAAGAGTGTAATGGAAGAATTGATATGGGTTTGTAGCATTCCAAATACGGCAGTTGTGCGTGTTTACCTCACCTTCGATATGAAAGTAGGCCTCGTCGATTCACAAAATGTTATATGGCCATTCCGCCTGGAACTCAACAGGGGCAAGAAACCTCAACGCAAAAGTTTGTCGACTATCCAGATCAGCTGGTAAGAGCTGCTGCACTAGCGAGAGTTTATAGGGATAGTAGCGTAAGATCCTTTGAAGAATTTTATGAACCGTGGAACGAGGTTGGTCAACAGATGCTGCAATACGCCGAACATTGGTGCTGCCGATGGTTTGCGATCTGTCTTGTTGGTCGTTCCCTTCCTGTCGGAATTCCCAATGTTGCCGTTGCTTCAAATTTCCTAATCATGTTTGTTAGTCCTTGACTAATGAGTGGATCTTTTCGTAACCGCTTCAAAGACCGAGATTTCCGCAAAGCTTCGGTAGCAGAGTCTCCGTTTCGGCAAAACAATTTCACCAGTAAAGCACGTTCCTGGAGAGTCAACATTATCTTCCTTGACTTGGAAACGAGTATGACTGCGGTTCGCCTCTCTCATCTTTATAGGGTTGCTGTGCGAGCACAGGATTACTATGGTTACGACATTTGGGTATGCTAATAGTTTACATTGCCCGACGCCATCTAATGGTAGTTTTTGAAACTCATTTTTTCCCCTCGATAAAATTCCCGACAATTCTTATATTATTAAATTTCATATAATTTATTTTTGATGTCTTTGCATGCTTTCACAAACGGGATATTGTACTACGATGACTATTAAATTTCATCACTGCTGCATTTATAGCATCATGGTTTAGTTTATAATTTTTCAAATGTTGCAGTAAAAATTGCAATACATCGTTACGCTCTTTATTATCATTTCCGTCTTTAGAACGTTTTCTAAATTTTTATTCATAACTACAATTATCGTCACTTTTTTATTGAGTCACATTACTTGGTATTCGCATTACTGCAAATTCGAGTTAACACTGGTTCTAACACCTAAGCTCCAAGTGCCGCTGTGTGCCGACGGTTAGCTTGTAGTATGTCAAGCTTTTTTCCGGCGATCTTTAGTTAGTTGTGGCGCTGTGCGCGACCATAAGCCAGGATAGAAAGTAAATGGGGCATGAATACCTTGTCGCGCGATACTTGAGAAATCTCATTGTAGTACATTGTATAATTTTACTGGTGTTGATCTACTAAATTGCATCGACAGTGATTTGTGATTTCACCTACTTGAAATAGAGCAACTAATTTAGGACGGTGGGAGGATTTTTTATTCCTTAGTTGCATTTTTGTTTTTTCAAATTTCCTGACCTTTTGGAAAAAGTTTCAGTTTTCTCCGAAACTTTTGAAAAAATGTTTATACTTCATTTGGCTATTTATTTAGCTTCATTTGGCCCTGACTTTCCAGTTAAATGGGAATCTATTTTTATACTATGTTACAGTATGATCAGAGTTTTGTTCTAAACCGGAAGGGGGGAGATGTTAAAAAAACGTTCGGGAAAAGTCAGTTTAACTAAAGTAGAAGAAATATTAGATTCTGATTTTGAACTTATTTTATATTTATAGTCAGTGGCGGACTGGCCAAAGAAATCGGCTCTGGCAGTAAACATTATACTGGCCTTAAGGCCGCATATGAAATGCCATTATATATATAAGTTATCGTTGTCATCAATAAACTACAAACAATAAATAACAGTGATTAAATAATTATATAAACAGAACAGCAGCTGATTCATAATTAGCCATTTAAATATTTTTTTAATGTCAGGCCGCTTGGGCAAATATTTCCTCCATTATATCTTCAGTTTTTGCTTTAGCCGAAATATCCTTTTCTATGTTCTTCAATGACAATGACTCCAAATTTACTTGCTTCATAGTACTCCTTAATCTACTTTTTAAATTTTTTAGTTTTGAAAAAGCTCTTTCGCGTTCAACTTGCGTTATAAATAGGGTGAGTACAAACTCATATGCAAAAAAGAAATTGGCATACGCATAACTATATAACTATATTTAAAGAGTAATTATATACACACAAGACGCAATTTTGGCAAATATTGCATTTAGCTTTGGGTGAATGCTCATTAATAGATAGAGAACTCTCTCCTTATGACTCTATCAGATTCAAAATAATGATTTCCTATTGAATGTTTTAGTATTTCCCACTTCCAACACTCACTTTCGTTCTATAGCATTTTTTGACGAGTCGTCGACGTCTCTGGGAACACAAGACTGTATATTCACAATATGTGCTTCTGTACATTTATTACGAATTTTACTCAATTCATGTTCATTCATGCGTTGTATTACGTGATACCAATCTCTCATTCCTCCATTAACAAAAGTACTTTCGTTAGAGCTGTCGGAATAAAGTAAGCAAATGAAGCAGAATAATCCGTATTACAGAAACTCAACCATTTTCTATTACTTCCGTTAGGACGACAGAAGACTGGATTAGGAAGAAAAGGTAAATGTTTTGAAGTTGAAGGTTGGCAGGGATGTTAGCTAATAAAATCCTATCAATCTTGAGCTGCTGTCGATCGTGCAAAATATAAAGCCGACAAATATGAAAATTTTGTCTGAGGCTCGAATCTGGCAAACGAGCCGGCTGCTTGGGCGTTTTCGTGGTTTTCCGCAAGTGTAAACAAACCATCCGACATTTTTTTTCACTATAGAAGAAGACTTTTCAATTCTGATCGTACTGTAATATAATGTAACAACAAGGCTTCCTTTTAACTAGAAAATGAGGAAAATAATAAATGGCCAGTGAAGTATAAACTTTTTTTCCAAAGGTTTTCGTAGAAAATTGAAACTTTTCCGAAAAGATGAGGAAATTTGAAAGAAAAAAAAGTACATTTAAGTAATAAAATTATTTGGCTTTCAATTGTATTTAATTTTTTTCTTAATATGTTGTACTTAATAAAGTACGTTTATATCCAAATTAAGCTGTGAAATTTACTTTATTTTAATACAGGTGGCTGTCCAACAATAGATCCATTTAAGGAAATTAGAAAAATACAAGCAACTTCTGAGAGACGAAAGAAGCTACTTGATGCTGCCTGTGATAATTACCATTACGGTATATATATGTACTTTTTGTATGTATGTAGTATTTCAATAGTATAACATTAACAAAGAAAATAACAAAATAACTTCTAAACCTTGTAAAAGATATCCTCAAATAATTAGCTAAGTAGGAACATTTTAGGCAATGTACTTTGTGTTATGATTTATTGGAAAAGAGCAGTGACTTGCAGAGTTGAATTCTTTTCCAACACAGGATTAGGTGTTAGAAAAGAATTCAGCAGTTCTTAAGGCACTCATTGCTGATCGTAGTGGGATGTAATCATGGAGTGAGATAATGACTAAAAAATGGAAAAACTGGTGGCAAAACGCACAGCAGGGCAAAAGAGCCTTTAGATTTAACTTCAACACATACATAAAATTTTATATTAACGATGTGTAACACGTTCGAAAGCTACAGCTCTAAATCCCCACATATCTTCATCTACGAAGCATACATGAAAGGGACACATGCGTATGTGGAGAGAAGGGTGATACGGACATTTTTTATAGTCCCGCAACAGAGGATCTACGCCTTAATAACCGAATCAGAATCCGGATGCAGTTTTGAACTGTGCAGTAGCAAATAATCACCTTTGAAGGAAAAGTTATAAAAATAATCGCGAATGTATCAGCAAAAGAACAAGAATTATGTGCCCCCATGTAACATAAGCATTTCTCCACTCTCATCCAAAACTCACAGTATTAATACGAAGAGTACGATAGTGCATATTGTCCACAGTTACGAAGTATATATAAAACAGAACTGATTAAAAGAACTCTAATCTTCAATCCATAAAATATTGTATCCGACGAAAATGTGTCATCATAATTCAAATGACATAATAATATGTATCAGGTATGTAATAGCTATTGCACCACTAATTTAATATTTTGTACCACATGCATATGTGATTAAGTAACGACTTATAGCTATAAAGCACTCCGAACAAGCGGATGAGCCCCCAGATGCCTCTTGCATTGCCTCCTAAATATATAAAGCTGTCGGCTAGTTTAATCACGAGCACCAGGCCGTAGAAAATCAAACAGCAGAATTTCCGATAGCGATAATTACTCCGTGCATGCAAGCATCAGTTTGCGTAAAAGAATGAGCTCCGAATAATTCAGAAACTCTGCTACCGGGGAAAAAATTTTATTCTATTATCGGAATAGCTTTGAAAACGGTTTTTAATTTATTATAGAGTTAAAATTAACTTACAATTAAAACAGTTTTCTTCAATAACTGAGAATACTTGCAGACTATCCACAAATCTCTGCTCATTCTTCAACGTTTTTTATATCATAAACAACCATTTTTAGTTTTTTCACAGGAGTATCCACTTTCTTTGCTAACTCGTAAAACGAGTAGTTTCGCTTTCGTGACATTTTCCATTAGCTTACTTAACAAAGTTTCCTATTCAGAAAAGAAAAACTGTATCTACTTTTGATTTCAATTATGTCCTCAATTTATAAGCTGGTTTTTTAACTCCGGTACTAGACTGTGAATCTCATGCTTTTGTTTCCTTCTTCTATCCCCATTTCTGCGAAAATACTTGAAAGGTAGGACTGCAAAATGTAAACCCAATGCAGTATGTCAAACAAAAGCGACGTATAACTGAAGTTATGAAACGTATAAAAAAATATTTTATTATTAAGATAAACAAGATTGAATCGGGAGCAAGATGAAATGACGTATAAATGTAAAAGACGTATAAACGAGAGACGTATAAACGGTGTTGCACTGTATTTAGCTGCTGCTATTTTACTATCAGCAATGGCTTTTATGATACGGTTTGCTTCTCTTTTAATTTTTTTTTCTTATTAGGACTTTCTCTGGAACTAGCAGCTTTCGAAGACGCATGCGATAGGCAACCATCAAACACGCTAGGAAAAACATCTCTTATCAGTCTACAGAAGGTGTTCACATATTTTTAGACTATTTTGCTTTGCTGTTAAAAAATCTTCTGCCTGAATTTTTTTTAACTGCAACTATAATTTTAATTGCAACTACTAAGTGTAAATTATGGTCTGCTAATTGACAGTTTTGTTTTCGAGCAAAATGTTGCTTTTAAAGAAGCAGTGGATGGAAGGCGATGTTTGTGCTCTTTCCGAAGAAAATTATTCGCATTGAAAACGCTGTGAAAGCCTTGATTTTTCGGTATCTAAAGCTATGATAGGTAATGTTGTCAAAAGAATAAAAACGTCAAAGTTTGGCTTCAAGTGGAAACATAATGTGCATCGTCTTTCTCCACGACGTATCGCCGAATGCAGAAAGCAATGCAGAAGTTTTTATGAGAAACATTTATCTGGACAAAAATCGAAAAATTGTGTCACAGTGGACGAATCTTGGGTATACTTAAATGACTGGAATCAAAAGCGATCCATTTATTATCATTAAAGGAAAAGAAAAAAACCCTTAATACATAGTTCAAAGAATCTAAAGAAAATTTTTCTAAGGGATTTATGAATGCTGCTAATTTTTCATATAACGGAGTGTAATTAAAATAAACAGAGAGAGGGAAAATGTTAAGATCAACTCCACATATTATCAGAAATATATTTTTACCCAATTTTCAAATATGAAATACCTTTTCTATATCCACTTGTTTCATCAATGAGTAGAACTGCATGAAGACAAAGAAAACAGCCTCACATCAAAATCCACTATTAATTTCTTGGAAAGATGTAACAAGAAACCAGTATAAAGGCCATAACCGTCACTCATATCCCTAATATATCTCCTGTTGTATCACCCGCAGGTTTCTTACACTTTTGTACTTTTAAAAAGCGGATTGCCCAAACATCGACCTACAATCTTCCATGGACTTCGGAAAGCTGCTAATTTCCTGGCCGCCTCGCTCACCTGATCTTTCATGTGCAGACTTTTTCCTTTGGGGCCACCTGAAGCAAGAAGTTTTCTGAACACGTTGTGCCACCATTCACCTGAGTCGAAGGATCGCATCAGAGCCGTCGGCAATGTTCCAGGGAATGCGTTACGCCGAGTTATGGCAAGCTTCTAACGCCGCCTAGATGAATGTGTTGTGCAGAGGGGGTATCATATTCAACAAGTAATTCACGCAATGGACAATGATTTACACATTATTAAATGGCATACCTTTAACTATTGATTTTTTAACTATTAATTTTACTCTTAAATTAATTTAACTATTAATTTAAGAGGTAATAAATAAATTACAGTTACTGCCTTATGGTGTGTTTTTAATATCCTACTGCGAACGCTACCGCACCTTGTACCTACCCGAGAATATGAAGTTGCTTATATATATTTTATGGGAAATGAAAATATATGCACCTTTTCACTACCTCGATAATTTCCACCAAGACCAGTTATACAGCATTTAAAAGGCATATTTCCTGTAAAAACAGTACACAACTCAGATTATATAAATACTAAATTTATAAGAATTTCAATTTACACATTCGGAACATTGAATGATGTACATTTGAACTTCTGATGCACAAAAACCGACAGGAACACTGGAGAATTTCAAATGTAATTGAAGATTTGAGTTGACGTGACTTTCAAAAAGCTACACCTGAAGAACGCCTAAGCTTCTATAAAGGTATCTATTATTATACTGAAACTATTTCTTTCACCAATGATAATAATTCTGGTATTTAAAAAATGCTGAAATAATCAACAACAGTGTAATGGAGATGGTGGCCAAATGTTATGGCAAAAGTTAGTTTTAACATGCAAGATATCATCTCCTCGAATAATTACTTAAAGTGCATGGAATGTGCTAAATGAGCAAAGGTTATCCGACTAGAAATAAATCTCAACGCATTGCGAGGGCGCAATAACCCAATTGTTAAAATATCTGAATTAATGACAATAATAATATTAAATAATACTTAAATATGTTACTTACCGAATCGGGCCAATTCTTGAGCTAAAGGACACAGGAAATATATATTTTGCACATTTTGATAATTTTATTACTTATGGAGCTCTTTCCTGAATTTGCTAATGTCTTGAATAAAGATATATACAGTGTGCCCCGTAAATGTTGCGACAAATTTCTGGCGGAGGTAGGGCACATCATAAGGATTAAGAATTGCATAGGAACCCATGCCTAGAAATGTTATTGTACGCCGCCAGGGGGTGTTGTAGAGGAGAGTGCTAATGAAAAGGGAGGGTTGCCTCATTCGAGCGGTAGGTACCATACGAAGAGAATAGAGCGCTGTACGAACGGAGAGCGTGCAGACATGCACTTAGTGTATGGAATAGCTGAGAGTAAGGGACAAGCCGCTGCACGCATTTATCCAGAACGCTTCCCTGACAGATATTAACACAGTTTGTTTGCACGTCTGCATTAAAATTTCTCCGACTACGGGTCATTAAGAAGTGGCAAGACAAGTGAGGGCAGGCAATAATCGGCTTACTCGGTCGTTAGGGAACAAAGTGTCTTGGATACGGTGGAGAGTAATTCAAGGATCAGCATACATGCCATTGCAACTCAATTAAGAATGTCTCGTACCAGTACCCAGCGTGTCTTGAACGCCGAGTTCTTCCACGCCTTTTGTTTACAAAGGGTTCAATTAGCGCTTCCCAATTACCATCCTGAATGTGTGCATTTCGTACAGTGGTTTCTGCTAGAAAATGCCTATAGTGTTAATTTCCCAGCTTATGTGTTGTTCACAGATGAGGCCATATTCTATAGGGATGGCGTATACAATCAGCATTTGTGGGCTCAAGAAAACCCTCCGGTTTGCGGCCCACGCGGCACAATAACGCTTCAAAGTTAATGTCTGCGACTGCTTAATGCTGTTTGTCGGGAGTCATCAAGTGTCGTGTAGCACGATCCTGTTGTGTCTGAAATGGATCTTCTGGCAAGACTCGCCGGCCCAGTTGCTACAATCACAGAAACTCCCGGTGTATTTGAACATGTCCGGCAATCAATAGTCCGTTGGTGTCAGGCATGTTTGGCGGCTGATGGTGTAAACTTCAAGTATCTATTGTAACATTCAAGCTGGCATACACCATTTGTATTA